GAGGGAGGGAGGGAGGGAGGGAGGGAGGGAGGGAGGGAGGGAGGGAGAGAGAGAGATTGATTTTGAACTTGACTCTTGTCTGAATGGATTCAAGTCTTCCTGGACCCAGGTTCATGCATTTAGTATTGCCTGTGGTGAGGGCCTCTGCTCCACACATCCCCCGCAGATAGGCTACAAGGGATGCGGAGCAAGTTCCCTTTAGGTCAGTGATTCTCAACCTTCCTAATGCTTTGGCAATTTAACACAGTTCTTCATGTCGTGGTGACTGGTGACCCCCCAAACATAAAATAATTTTTGTTGCTACTTCATAACTATAATTTTGCTACTATGAATCATAATATAAATATCTAACATGTGACTCCTGTAAAAGTGTCGTTCAACTTTCAATGGAGTCCTGACTCCCTTCTGCTTTACCTCACTCATCAGGGCTTGAGGGGGTTAGATAACACTTCTGTGAGGGAGATGCACAGGAACTTCAAGGGCATTGTTGCTTGCCTGAAAAAAATCCAGATATCTTGAAGCACCACCAATAACTATCAGTGCTATCTGAAGCCATCTTGAATGTACCAAGTGAATAAACCCACCATGATATTAAGCTTTAAATGGCAGTGATTCTTAATTTATAAACACAGAAGCAGCTTTAGAAGTTATCTTAAAGCAGAAATAAACCTCTGAAGTTTTGGCTTGAAGGAGCTTCAACCAAATAAGTGGAAAAGACTGAAGAGATAATACTTTACACTTTGTACCTTTATGGAAGTCATAGATAATATGACTATCTACATTTAAAGAGAAAACACTTGGGCACAATATATTAGTTTGGCTTTACTTAAAATGTAAACCTGAAATATCTCAATTTTCTCAAAAACTGGCTTCATATCATATACACAGCGTAACAACTGCTTAAGTTTACTTCAAGATAGCTGGTTAAATATTAGTGTTGAAAAATATCCAGCAAACATGGAAGACTGAAAGGAGTATGTCTGTGTGCACTAGAAAACAGGCAACAATGGCCATTCAGAAAATTGATGGCTCATAAAACATGAACATGAAAGACCATTTTGATAAAGCCTTTATCTATAACAAAACTTCCTTCTGATTTGGTGACCAGAGATCATAAACTTGTGGAATTCAGCTTTGGTGACTTCAGTTCACCATGCACAAGATAACAGAAAGCATCGGTAACCACAGCTTGGAGGCCTACACAGGGTACAATGAGAGCTTCAGGGACAAGAGGTGACTTCAGTTCTGATACTCAGCCACAAGACTCTTAGACATCTAAAAAACACTGGCAGATGGAGCTGTCGGCTTCCCAGGCAGCAACAGAACACTCCACTCTTCTGTAGGATATCACAGTAACAGGGAATGAATGTCAGTTCAAGTCAAAGGTTGGGGAGAAGACAGTGTGGCTACCCTTGGTAAGTGACGTGGCTCAAATAGTTAAAAAATAATCACAGTGATAAAGCTAGACTTCCTAACCAATTACTGAGGCAGTGAGGGGCAGGACAGATGAGACTTCTACAGGAGAGTGACCATGACTTCTTGTGAATGTGGCACCTAACATGGTGTGCAAAAAGTATAGCTCTGAACAAGAACATATTCAACAGTTAACACTCTGAGAAACCTGCCAAAATTAATAATAACCCTGGAGTCAACTTAATTGATACTTAAAATTCTTACAAATTTGCAGAAAGTAGCAAATTTTAATAGAGCTTTAATAACTCGATTCCAATAAGACATCAGTGGTGTAAAACATTCAACATATGCTTGCTTTCACGCCCTGTTCCCAGTCCTCCAGCCAATTCGTTCTTAGCATTTGAGTGAATGATGGTAAATGAAGATTCTATGACCCAGGGCCCTGCTGTCTCTCCTTATCTATGGACATCTGGTGACACTGTAAGTCCTTTATAAATTCTCATTCCATCCATGTTAGCATCATTATAGAGTGATCCAGAGCCACACAATTAAAGCTCCAGTCTGTATCCTTGCTTCCTTTCCCTCCAGTGCCTGAGCCTCACCCGTACTCTGTGCTCACACTCCCTCTGTCACCGCTCCCTCTCTTATAGTGATCTTAAAAATCAGGGCACTAGGTAAGAAGCCATGCCACTTTCCTTATGCACCTTAATTTTAATTGTATTTTGGCCTCTTGTTATGCATCCCCTTTTTTTCAATTTCTTATAAAGTATTATACTGACCTTATTTTATCTTTGAAAACCAGTATTCTTTGTTCTCATCCTTCTTACATGTATACAACTTTGCTCTCAGATTTCTTTGTATCATGGAGTCATTCTTGCCCTGTGTTCTTTTCTTACTTCATGACATGCCTTTCCAGTCCTTTACTTCCCAATCTTTTACTGAAGTGTGGTTTTTCTCTCCTAATCTTCTCCCCTATTTCACTCAATTACTACTTTTCCAATGACTAACCTTATTTTCTTTTTAAATGATATTTTTATTCACATATTGAGAATTTCATAGTGTTTTAATGTATTTAGCTCTCCTTCCCCAATCCCTCTGAAATCCAACCTCTTTACCCTCATGTGCTTACCTACAGAAATGTAAGTTCTCTTCTTTTATCTTTAAACACATTGAATACATTTTGTGTTGCCCAATTACTCTTGGCAGTGAGTTATGGAGTATGGTTGATCTAAAAGGGTTCACATTATAAAAGAAGATCCATTCTCCCTCTCAATACAGGTAACAAATTCCAATAGCCCCTCAGCCAGTGGTGGGATTTTTGGACCCATCTCTCCTCTGCACAACTTCCATGCTACAATTTTATTTGACTTAAGCTGAGACAGGTCTTGGGTGTACTATCTCAACTATCCAGTTGTGTTTGGAAAACACTGTTTTATCTGAGATATTTCTGGCTCTTATGATCTAATATAGTGTACCTTATTGATGCTGCTTTCTCTCTCGTCTGTTCATTCATGATATAGTAGCCGGATTTAACCACCTACTTAAACCAACCAACAACTCAACAGACAAACTCAACCACAATTTTATGGTTGATCACTGAGATGTGATCAAGAAAACAGGTGTAAAAATCTTCAGTGAAGGAACCGAATACATAACTGCTGAAATTAAAGCAGAAATATTTAAAGCTTATGAAAATAAGTGGAACTATGATATTTTAATATCTGATATATTGTATATAAATAAAACTTTGAACACAAAATAGAAGTGGTTAGGTCTACATGATACATTATAGTTAAAAATGAAAAGAGTATAAAATAAAGGAAGGCCATTAACTTCGACAAGAAAAATCTCACAAATGTATAAAGACGAACCCATCAGGATAACATCAGACCTCTTAGTAGAAACCCCAAGCACAAGCACAGTGTAGAAGAATTAAGTCCAGGTCCTGAAAATAAGCAGAGAACTACCAACCAGGATTATTACCTCCAAAAATGCTCTCATTTGAAACTGATGGAGAGCAGAGGTATTTCAAGAAAAGCCCAAATTGGAGCATTTCATGGTCTACCTGATACTGCAGAAGCAACAAACAAACAAACAAAAATCAGAGGAGGAAGAAAGTCTCAATATTGGGGCACAAGAAAAATTCATTTTGTAGAAATAATAAAAAAGAAATTAATCATGACCAAATCAGCAAATTGGAATTCTGCTTATATGGATGGAGAAGAAAAACAATACGCATTTGAATCATTCAGAGAAGCAACCAAAGAAATGTAAAGAAGCAGTCAACAATGTTTCAGTAATAACCCAAAGTGTCTTAATGGTCTTAACTGTTTAGTTAAAACACGCAGTCTAGCTGATTTGCTGCCTACAGTTCATGCTGGGCTCTGTATGTCACAGTATAGCTGAATGTGGGCACTGACAAAACACCAACAAAGGAACAGTGAGACGTTTCTGTGCGCATGCATGTGCATACATCAGAACCACACAAGTAGGCTTGGGGAGAGGATCCTTTCCTCAGTTCTCAGTTCTACGCTAATTATTTCCTAGTAAATGGTCTATTGATCTCTACTTCCGTCACTAAAGAATCATCAAGCATGTAGTGCATCACAAGCATCCCTGAAAGTACTTTCCTTGTCACACCGTAGAGTTTGATGGCAGCTTTGATTATCACCACACATCATGAGTACTTTAAATTAGCCATGCCTTCATGTCATATAAAATCAACAGATGCTGCACAAAGCACCTTTGCTAAGAGTTGAGACTACTGTATGTTATGAATTGTAGTGTTGTCACTGGACATACAAAGCTTTCTGCCTTATAGAAACCTGGTGGTCTATTTATAAAAATAAAGTAGTTCCTATGATAGCTTCCTACAATTATTTTTCATCATGAAATTATCAAATCACTATACCACTGAATTGTATTGTATTGTAGTATTTGAGTTTAAAAACTGCTATTTCAGTTTGCTGATGTGCTTTATTAAAAACTTTAAAATAAATTTTGACTCTGGATTTTTTGACTCTGGATTTCAACAGAATTTCCAAC